ATCGTGTTATGTTCAGCTGCTATCTCGATGTTGCGTATCCTCTCGATGGCGAAATACTAATTTCATACGTTTTAGGGGTGGGATGGAATCCCTAATACCTGTTGTAAACAAATTACAAGATGTTTTTGCAACACTTGGACGTCGCGAGGATCAAATACAATTGCCACAGATTGTAGTCATAGGATCACAGGTACGTTTTTTGTTTTCGAAAAAGAATGTGAGAAACAATTTAGAAGGGTTAATGTTAAAGTTTTTTTTCACCATTTCAATGAGGGTTATGTGGGATTATAACAGTTTTTAGCCTGCTTTTGTTCACATAGAAAGCTTGCGTGCTTAACCAATATTACAAAAACGAAAAGCGTTTTTGTTACCTCTTGAAAGGGTAGAATGAAATCAAAAATCTATACATGTTGTTTACTGCATAGTTCCTCTGATTTGCAGATGTCGGCGCGACGCACACAGTCACATCTTTTTCCTTTTGCTGGTGCTCTTTGCTTAATCATAGCCTACAGCTTCATAATCGTGTAATGCGGTCTTCTTCTTTGGTCAAAACTTTTCTCTTGAGCGATATCGTTTTTCTCATCCATAGGTGCAGATAGCTTTGCATACAATGAGGACTTCACCGCGGTTTGATTTCCATTCAAGCAAAGCAAAAATCCGTCTTATTGAAATTTCTTGCCAATTTAACGCCAGGCATGTGTTCGCTTTCCAGCAGCGAAGGAAGTATTCTGCTACAAATTAGCAAATAGAAATCTCGCATTTCGTCCTGTACATAACTTCAAGAGACGATTTTTCTCAATTTGTTCACAATCTTATATCTATGGGTAGTCAGAAAACGATATCGTATTCATTGTGCTTCAAAATATTGAGAATGAAATTTTGGATGTCAAAATGGTGATTTTTGTTGTCGTATGCTGTAGTTTTTACTGAGGGTCACCCCACAATCTGCATATGAATATTTGACCTATTCCACATGCTTTCGGATCCTGGGTGAAAAAATGGAAATCGTCCCAAACTCGATGTAGTGTTTATCCATTTATCCACAGGCTGTAAGAACATCTTTGTGACTTTGCTGTGATCAAGTAAATAACGAAGAAAGTCCGGCGTATCATCTTTCTTTTTTTTTGTTCAAACTTGGTCTCAATGAAATGGGCAAGTAGGTTTCAAAGGTTTCCTTGTTCCCTTTCAGCGGCTGGTGTTTCGCTGCCATTATTATACGCAAGCAACCATGATCTAAGAGTTTAATGCGCCCTAGTAAATGCAGTATTGTGGATTTTTTGGTGACTTTTGTATGAATTCGGGTTTTCAGAGTGCGGGAAAAAGTTCGGTGTTAGAAAATATCGTTGGACGTGATTTCTTACCGCGTGGTACGGGCATTGTCACAAGACGGCCACTGATTCTACATTTGTCCCATGTACCAGCTGATGATGAAATTCGACGGAGAAAACCAGATGGTTAGCTTTTACTCGTTTTTTTTTGTGTAACTGTTTGGTATTTCCAGGAACTCTAATCACCGATGACTGGGCCATGTTCGAACATACGGGTGGAGCGATATATAGCGATTTTTCTGAAGTCCGGAAAGAGATTGAAACAGAAACTGATAGACTTACTGGTCATAATAAGGTATCTAAATTCATAATCATTGTATGTCTCACCCTGCTTTTTTCCTTTTAAAAATTTTCGTTTTGTCGTTAATGTGTTTTTTTTTACCTTTGATCATTTCAGGGCATTTCACCCATCCCAATAATACTTAGGATATTCTCGCAAAATGTAGTGAACTTATCATTGGTTGACTTACCTGGGATCACAAAAGTGCCCGTTGGGGATCAGCCTGCCAACATCGAGGTGAATCAAAACCTATTCGTTACAACTGACATAATTCATATGCACACTACAGGAGCAAATTCGCGAGATGTTGTTGTCGTACATTTCCAACCCATCTTCGATCATTCTAGCTGTTACCCCTGCTAATCAAGATTTTGCTACTTCTGAGCCAATCAAAATTGCACGCGAAGTAGATCCTGAAGGTATCCGTATTCATTTGCATTTACGCTGCTTCCCGTTGAGAATCACCGATCATAACATGTCAGGTCAACGAACGCTAGCTGTCTTAACAAAATTGGATTTGATGGACCAGGGTACGGATGCTATGGATGTTTTGATGGGTAAAGTCGTTCCTGTCAAACTGGGCATCATTGGCGTGGTTAACCGTTCTCAGGTATGCGTCTATTTTTCGGTTTGATGTTTCGTTTCTATACATTGCCTTGGACCTGACTCTTTGGCGGTCAAGCGAGTGTGCCTTGCGTCGCATTCAGTGGAGTGGTAGAGGTTAAAGCAAAAAGAAGCACTTGCATTCTTCAAGACAGCTTCACCTAGTGATTACGTGCTTGGAATTCTCTCATTGGGTAGACTTGATCGCTTGTCTTTCTCTCGGCTGAAATTGTGTTGGAACGAAGTGTGGACGTATATCATGAAAAGATATGTATTCAACGTTTGCTTGTTTTCTTATTTACAAATCGTCCTGCAACAGTAGCTGCGATTAGCTCCTCCGCACAATTGTCGTCATGAAATGTGAGCTGCCGAGCAAGAGTTAGTTTATACTTCACCTTTCCTTGTAGTTCCGAGACCGTAATGCAAAAATGTGGAGAGCAAGAGCATGCAAATTTTTCTTACGGCTTACTAGTACCTGGATTGCCTTGAATTGGGGAATAAGAGGTGGAGGGGAAGGGAGGGGGAGGGGAATGGTATTTTTTCACACCGCCGCACAACTGTTCTTGATCTCTGGCGGAATGTGAGTCAGTGGCAATGCTAGCTGTGCAGATCAGCCTTGTAAAATGGCTATCCTCCCTTTTCCAACATCTCGATGTTGTTCCAGTAGCTAAGGTTTTCGAATCAAGCGCGAAGCTTAGGACATGAACTATGATTTGTCGAATAAGCATTAAGCATAAGCATGAATATTAAATGCCAATTTCAGCAAGCTATCATCGATAACAAGCCGATTGCTGATGCTATACGAGATGAGCAATCTTTCCTTCATCGAAAATATCCTACACTCGCGAGTAGGAATGGTACTCCATATCTGGCCAAGAAGTTGAATCTGGTATGGTTTTTATTGCAAACTTGTCAGTGTCTGCCGTTTTCACACCGTAATCAAGAGAGTTAGCGAAAGAATCTAG